CGGCCGGGGCAGCCCCGCCCTGGCACGCAGGGTCCTGGGGTCCTAAATCAGCCCCGCGATTCCCGCAGTTGGGGGTGGGGGACACCGGCACAAAGCAGCAGCCGCATAAATCTTCCTGGGGAGAATTAGTTAATTCGTCGGTTGATTAAGGAAAGGGGTCCCGTCCCGGTTGAGCTGAACTCCAGAGTTGTTGGTTGTGGCGAAATGAATGTCGTCCAAGAAAGGTCCTTTGCGAGGCCCACGAAAGCACAAGCGCCACGTTCACGGTGGCCCAGGGGGCTGGAGAAAGGACACTGGCGAAGGCCACCTCTCTGAGAAGGGACCTCTGAGAAGGGGCTTGGAAGGCAGCAGGGAGGGAGGGAGGCGAAGTGGAACAGAGCCTGGCCGGTGGCACTCCCCTCTGCACCCCAGACCCGCCCAAGCCTCACCCGCATCCCCTCTGCACCCCGGACCCGCCCAAGCCTCATCCGGATCCCCTCAGTCAGGCGCCCCTGCCCGAGGGGGCCGCGGAGGAGACCCGGGGGCGCACCCGCTCTCTGCCCTGCACGCAGTGCGGTGGCGCTGGGCCTCTTTGCGGGGCGTAGGGGAGCCTCACCCAGAGCCGCGGGGTACCAGAGCTTAAACAGAAGGAATTTCTGTAAATACAGGCCAGGCCGGGGCAGCGGAAGGGCCCGTGGAGCGCGGGACCCCGGAGCCCACCCACTGGAGGGGGCGGCCAGGAGGCGCCTTCTGGCCAGATGTTGAAGACGGATGAGAACGAGTAGTTAAAACCCACATTATATAGTTCTGCCGGGTATAAAATTGCATGTGCTGACCCATATATTCTAACTGGAAACGGACTCGAGTCACTTAAAATATGGCAACGTCGATAGGACTAATTAATTGGAAATAAGAAACGAAAGAATACAATTAAACGAGAACAGAATCATTTTCTAATTTAATAGAGGGACATTTATAAAGATCACAAGCTAAAAGGCATCGAATGATTCTATCGACATGCTATTAAATCAGCCCCCGAGCCCCGGGGGGCGGGGGGGGGGGAAGGAGGAGCAGAGTGGGGGGAGCGCAGCGTCTCCAGCACCTGGGCCGTGGGTTTGCCGCCACCGACCGGACCGCGCCGCGGCTGACCCGCGCCGGCCCGTCCCACCGAGCTCTCTCCTCCCTGCCCAGGACTCAGACCCAGCCGCTGCCGGCTCCCCAGGCCGGCGGAATCCCGCCTCTGCCCCGAGTCCCAGGTTCGCAGATATATTACAACAAAATTACTAATTGGAAAATGAAATTGTCAATAAAGCATCTCCCCCAGCGTATACAATATCCTTAAATATTAAGACATTTTATTAGACCCATTTCCTAACAATAATTTATTGCAATAAAACAGACACTCCAGGTCCCCTTAAATTGTCTTTTCATAATGAATAAATTTAAGCGGACTAATTAATATATAAACTAGCCCAATTTGTCAAGTTGATTTGTATTTTAGTTAATTGTGAAAGTAATTACCACATGGTCAAATTAACAGCTTTCTGGAAATGACCAAGCCTGAGGTTTTATTTCCTTCCTGGGTGAAGAAAATTCATTTTTCCAGGCTCTTGATGTGATGAATAAAAGTCATAAATCTGGGTGATTGGTGCAGGCAGAGTCTAAATGGCTTCATATTTCATTTTAGGTTTAATAGAAATATTCATGCTCTGTTTTAATGAAATTAAATTGAGGGGGGATGGGGCCGGGAGGTGGCAGTGGCCAGGGCCTTAAAGGGACAGTGCACATTTTCTCCCCCGCCCTTGGGAGGTGCGCCCG